AAGTTCATTGGAAGAAAAAGAACAGACAGAAAGACAGTTGCTTAGACAAAACAAGCAATTTGAGAACATCCCCTGGACTTGGGGAATTTTTAAAACAAATCTGGTATTTTATTTTAGTAACAATTGATGTATACGTATAGACTACATCAAATAAGTAGTAAAAACTAACTGATAGTTGCAGGCCGACATGTGATCCACTCACTATAAGATCTTTCTTCTAGCTCTGTATAATTTATTGTGCGTGACAGAGACACTAACTGAGTCCCGAAATGACCTGATTTTATTTTGGCTCTCTCTTTTTGGTTTTCAACCTGAACAGGAAGGTCCGAGGTCAGGGTTATCTACGGGACAGCGTCCCTGAAGCTGGCAGGATTTCAATGACTTATTCAAGGACACTGTTCAAGGGCAGACACTCTGTTTAAGAGGCAGCACCAACACCACCCTGCTGCTTCATAGTAACTACATGTTCGCTGTCTTTTCTCCCCATTAGTCATCACCTTGATTAGGTTAAAGAAAAAATAAAACACTCCAGGGATTTCACCGGCCGGCTATGCTAATTTTTCTTTTGTATTCAGTCCGAGTGAGATGCTTTTTTTTTTTTTGTAAAGGAGTCTTTTCTCCTCCACCCCCATCCATGTGTGTGTAAGCATGTTGCACATGATAGAAAGTGGAGATGTGCATGTGTGTGTCTAAGAGAAGAGAGTGCCTGTGTGTGATTCCTAATAGCAGCAGGGGCATCAATATTTCATGGTGACAGATGGGAGAGGAAGGAGGGGAATGGGTTTGTGAGGCGTGTGTGTGTGTGTGTGTGTGTGTGTCTGGTATGTGTGTCCTCTGTTTATGCTGAGGAGAAAGTGGGCCAGTGCCTCGTTCCCTGTGTGCTGCTGCTGCTGCTGCTTTGCTGTGTTTTCAGGAGAAACTCCATGTTCTATTCTGAGGCGGCTGCTGCAGCGAGTCAAATGGGTTCTTCTCTGAGTAACTGATAAAAAAAAACAGGAAAGCTGAGAAATTACAGACCAGGAAATATGGTGACTGAGTGGGAGAGGAGTTTCTAAAATAAGTAAGCTAATAAGGAAACTGATCTTGAAGATTTTTGAAGTTCTGACACCAGCAGAACTAATGAAATCTTTGAAGTTCACAGAAGTTTCTGTTTCGTCAAATGCCTGAGTCGATGAACCTGAATACTCTCTGCATACATCCATATTAAGTAACAGGCAGGGTTTACCACACATTTATTTGTTTGAGGTGGGCTGCCACGATTAAAACATCTGCCGCCACATCTTGATTTTCTATATTTAGGGCTGGCCCATTCATTAGGTGCGTCGTTGGAATATATCTACCAGTTATTATTTGCTCCACAGAGGGAACGGCACAACACCTGGGTGTGTTGGTTAAAAATTTTGCTTTCACTCACAAACAGCTGTTCCTCTCATCCATCGATCTGATCTAATCGGCTCAGATTGGAACAACTGATCAATTATGAACCCTGCAACTCAAAACTCCACAAACTGCAGCTGAAGGAAAAACAGAAGACTTCCACCTGTGCTGCGTTCATGGACAGCAAAACCTCCAAAGTTGGAAAGGAGACACTGAATGCTACAGGGACACACAGGCAAGACAAATAAATAAACAAACAAAAAAACATAAAGTTAGCCCGCCTGATGATGATCTTTTCTATAAAACACAGGGACCTGGACACCAGCGGCTTAAATTTCACACTGCTTATGCAGCCCTAAATCAGTGGATATCCAACAGGGGCCACGCCACAGATTGCATCATCATGAGAGTTTTCACTCATCATTCTTAACCCTGGAAATAGTCCATCCATTCATTTTCATCCACTTATCCAGGGTCAGATCGTGGGGGCAGCAGGCCAAGCAAAGCACCCCAGACATCCCTTTCCCCAGCAAAACTTTCCAGCTCCTCCTGGGGGACTCCCGGGGCCTCCTACCAGTGGGACGTGCCTAAACACCTCTAACAGGACGGCCCAAGAGGATCCTGATCAGATGCCCGAACCACCTCAACTTACCCCTTCGATGTGAAGGAGCAGCGGCTCTACTCAGAGCTCCCTCCGGATGTCCGAACTCCTTACCCTATCTCAAAGTCTGAGCCCACTCATTTCGGCCGTGAATCCTCCAAGAATTGCTACCTTAACGCGGTGGAGGGGTTTGCATGTCCCTGGGTCCTGTCCCTGCTCCTGGTAAGGTCTCCAAAGGCAAAGTGGTCCTACGGGAGGGGCCAGACTAAGAGTAATTCAAGAAGACCTTGATGAAACAGACAATTCAGACTTCGAGCACCTTCACCGTTTTGGGGACACCTAGGTGCCTCCCTGGAACCAGACCTGGGAGGGGGCCGGGCCTTGGGCCATGGTTGCGCTCAGCTCGAAAAAATAATATGGAGCTGTCGCCATGTGGGCCAATCACCTACAGGGACAGAAATCAGGGTCTAGTGCATTGTGTGCCAGGCGGCAGGCAGGGACGGAGCCCTGGGTGTGCTGATAATGTGCCAAAATTAGTTTCATAGAAGTAGTTGTTCAACAAAATAACCTTGATGTAAGATTCAGTTACTGGATTTTTTTTTAGCTTGGTTTGAAAATGCAGGTGTTTTAAAGCTCGACAAAAAGTTAGTAAACTAAGGTGGAAATATCTCATCACAACACTGTCATTTTTTGGAACATCATGGTGCATTAAGTATCATATGTAGTGTTTCTTCCCTACATCTGAGCTTCTCAGCACTGAAAACAAGAGGCCAAATTTCATGTCAAGTTGAGCAGACACCCAGCAGAAAGGCAAAAGAAAGAAGAACCACAGATTTGTAAGGAGAGCACAACACTGAAGGAGCAGAAAGTCATCAAGAATGATGGAGGGCAACACAAGGTAGCAGCATAAGATATGCATCAAACCACCTTTGCCTGAGGCTATGTATTTTATATGCAACGTAACACACTGGTGCAGTTAGACGCAAGATGCTGCCTGATAACACATCAAGATATGTTCCATCTTCCTGCTCCAGAAAAGCAGCATTTTTATCAATTTTATTTGGCACATTCAGGCTGCTGCACCCCGACAACATCCTCTGTCTGCAAGACAAATCTGGCATGTGTGTGACGAGTATCAGGTCAGGTGTGTCAAATGATGTCTAACAATGTGGCTGCTGTGTGTTGCCCTTGAAACTGTATTTGAAGAAGAACACGTAAAATAACCAGGGACATATCTTTAGAGAGTAAAGGTCTAACAGACTGGTTGATTTCAAGTTTAAAATTCATCCTATGCTGCCGTGATCTACAGCAGCATAATATATTCACACAGTCCCAATCAAAGTGATGCTATGTATAGACTCAATGCTGGTCAGGTAATCAGATGAAATAACCTTTGGCATCATGCCGCTTCACTGACAGAAATGTCTACAATGACCTTTTGTAAGACGTCCACCCTTTCCTTAAAGCCGTCTCCTTATGAATATTAATAAAGAATGTAACATATCATAGACTTAAGTTTCTCCCAACAGTTGTTTACTGTGTGTCAGCGTAACATGTGTGCATGTGTCATGTACCTGTGGCTAAAAGTGTGTGGGCGCTTCGCCAAGGTGACATCCCACACACCATCTTCTCCACTGACCCCGGTGTTCAGTGTGCCGATAACATACAACACAAACCACACAGGGCGCAGGAGAGGCTGCCGGCAGCAACAGCAGCAGCAGCAGCAGCAGCACCCACAAAGCGGAGGGTGTCGTGTGACATAAAAGGCGGAAAATGAACCTATTTGTATGCGCGGCTCCACAACTGGAGGCGAATAATAGCCTCCTGCAGAGACAGTTGCAGGTGCTGCTCAGAGGTAAAAAAAAAATAAATACAAAAATAAATAAATAAAAAGCACAACCTGTTAAAATGCAGGGAAAAAATAACGTGCGGTACCCCGAGGTGTGTGTGTGTCAGTGGTGAGAAAAATTGCTCCATAAAGAGAGAGATTTAGAGGAAAGTGGTTTACAGAGGAGTGGCATCATCTGTTGCTGCAACAGCTTTTCTGAAAGTGTGTAATGAGGACTGGTTCATGCTGAAGGAGACAATGAAGACAGAAAGAGGCTTTAGGGGCAGTTTAAACCTTCTTCGTTGCATTTATCATACATCCTTTTGGCGATAGCTACTCTTAAAGTTCCTCAATAAAGTATTTCTTATTTTAACAATGGATAAAATTACCAAATGTAATGACTGGAAAAATTAGAGAATTATCGCTCAGTGCTGCAGCCCTCCTCAGATTTATTGAGGTTTAAGGCCTCATTGTTGTTTTAGTTTAATGGCACAGTTACAGTCCAGTCTCAGTGCTCCCATCAGCTGTTCCCAGCAGCAGCAGGCAGCTGCTTTAAAGTAAACAACAAGCTGGTGAAGAAAGTGGAACATTTATCATCTGGAGCCAGATATATTTCTTACAAATTGGTGGAGACCAAATTTGAGCTAAAAGGAGTGAATGACTAAATTTATAATGTGGACTGAAACTATCTCAAATAAATGCAAATGCTGCTTTGTGTCTGCCAGATGTGTAAAAAGGAAAAACATATGAGCCATAAGTAGGGTTAGGTACCAAAATCAGCACTTCTAAGGGTGCCAACTGGATTATGTCAGCACTTCATAGAACCAGTGCATGTTAAATCCACATGTGCAAAATGCTGGTATCTGAGAGTGCATCTAGGTAAGAATGCTGGGCCTAGACAAGAGCTGCCAGCCTCAACTTCATGTATGTAGGAGCACCCTGAAGCCAGGAAGCGAGCCACAGAGCTCTGCAGCTGCTCCGTGAGTCAAAACTATTACTTCAGCACCTATCAGCTGCAATTAGCGGTTCAAATGTGAACGGTACCCAACCCTCGCCTTGAGAACTAAGACTGTTAGTGCAGTTTACCTGAGGAGTGTAAAAAGCATGTGCCCCCTTCCCTGGATAAAAAAGGAAAGACTGATGATAAAGACCAAACATGTAAACAGTAAGTTTATAATGTTCATGCTAACTAACCCGAAGCCCTCCAGCGATGTGTCAAACTCCACAAATGCAGGCGTGACCGCCGATCCGTGGAGGCGTATGTCATGGGGCGTTGTCATGGACACCAGGCACTTGACTCGAGTGAGGGGCACGGTGCTGCCCTCTGCAGAGCGCACAAGGCTGCGGCTGATGCGATACTGGCCGTTGTCCTCCGCTGGCGTGGCGAAGACACTGTCTGGACCTAAGCCCTCCATGGACATGGTCATACTGTCTGTAAAGTCAGGAAGGACAAAACTTTAATTGAGGATAAACTCAACCAACATCAAGGGTGGGGCTACTAGTTTAAATCCATTAGTTTGCCTTGTAACCAGCTAAAATATGGGAAAAAAAGTTTTGATCCAATGCTAAGGCACATCTAATTTAAGGCCTGTGATCCAGAAGAAGAGACACAAATGGACTTTTTCACACCAGGTCCAGAGCCCGGAGTGAGAATAATGACAGCTCTGCCCGTACCTCCTCTTGTGCTCTTTGAATGGAACCAAAATCCTCATAGCTTTCATACATTTCTTTTCCTTTTTCTCTGCTCTTGCCTGCCGACTCTAGTATTATGTAGCAATAAATGAATAGCTGAGGTTTCTTCACTTTTTTCTCCTCTCCTATTTTTCAAACTCTGCCACTGCAAAAACAGGCTGTGACAGCATTTTGGGTTTAGAGAATCTTCTATGTGTTTAGAGAAGCCCACATTAGGTGCATTAATCTATAGAAGACATTTTTTTTTTCATTCAGAAATGTCAGACGGCTGTATCTGGGCAGCATTAGATCAAGCCTGGATCTTTATTGTCCCATAAGGAGTTGAATTAACCTCTGGTCTGACGTACAGTGTTTTACCTTCCACTAAGAACATGGATGACTGCTTGTTGGGAGTCAACACATCTAACACAGACAAATTAAAGCAGGTATTGCAACACGCAGCACTGGCAGCCAATAACCCATCCTGGATTATCTTCTCACAGACAGAGAAAGATAGTCCTGTGTGTTCTAACAGTGGCGGCTTGTAAAGAGCAGTAATTAGTCGGGACTTAATATCCATTCTCAGCCGAGAGGAGACACAATGAGCAATTAGGACATGCTGAGGAGCCCACAAAATTACAAACATTAACGGCTGTTAATAGAAAACAAACCATTTGTAGCAGATTCACAGTTGAGAGACGATCTTTGTTTAAACAGGGAGTTTACACATTAACTGGATATTAATCAGAGGCCAAGAAGACGATTCCGGGTTTCCTACAAGTTGGTGCTTTGCTTAAGACACCTCATGGTCCCTACAACTCTTCCTATAAACTCTGAGGAAATAAGCTGCACTGTAAAATGTCAGGGTCGCATAAACTAAAGCCAGGCAGTTCCACTGACTTTGCAATCATCTGAACCTTTCTGAAAACCTACAGAATCTTCCCCTTTCCACCACCGAGCCGGTGCTCGTAATTCTAACCCGACAATTAAATGGCAAATGAGAGCTCATCCTCTGCAATCACGGCCTATTCACCGCACAATTCGTCCCAGTGATCTCGCAGAGAGGGAGCAAAGGAAAGGAGCAGAATAACTGAAAGATTGACGACCTTTTTCCAGGCTTTTAGCACAGAATGAAACGTTCTCTCCCAGGAGGAAGCTGGTTTCACTGTGGCGGATGGAAACGGCTCCCAAATGACATTATCATTTCATAAAAGTACAGGAGGGCTGCGAAGGATTGAACTCTTCAATTCTAAGCTATTAAAAACTGATATGCTCAGCTGTAAAGAGGCTGTCATTTCTGCCCACAAATTCAAATAACGTCACAAGACTGCATCACAAACTGCATATATCTGATAATAGATGTTTGTTCTTTCATCTGTTTGTTTGTATGGATTTGCACTGCTTTTATATTCATTTGACAATTCATTAAAAGCCGTTTTAGCATGCACCATTTTGACCCGCCTTGATTGTTTTTTGACTGCTTACAACAAAAAAAATCCAACCTGTTCTTCAGTTCAGTTTGGAAACAGTTTAAGGCAATTGCTGGTAAAAACCCACTTTCCCAACATTAACTTGAACGCTAAATACTTTAGGTAAGACACTGACAATCAAAATGAACTTTAATGACACTTGAACGGTTCTCTGAGGTGCCCCCTGTTGTTATGGCAGAACAGTGTGTACCCTCAGTCAATCTTGGGTTTTGGCTGTGGCTCAGAAAGTAGAGTGGGTTATCCACTAATAGAAAGATCAGCAGTTCAATCGGCGGCTCCTCCAGTACGCCTGTTGAAGTATCCTTGAACAAGATACTGAACCACAAAATGGCTGTTCCATCGGTGTGTTAATGTGTTGAAAATTGAGTAGCAGGTGGCACCTTATAACAGTCACCAGCGTATGAATGTGTGAATGTGACTTGTAGTGTAAAGAAAGCACTTTGAGTGGTCAGAGGACTAAATAATATACAAGTGCAGCTCCATTTACCAAACAGATCTGATACATAACACTAGAGAGAGTATTTCCTTTGAGACCCTTGATGAAGTGACTATCATGTGATCACAACTGGGAAGAGAGTTGCGACTGTCTTACTTCTCATCTCTGCGTCGTAGCCGAGAGAGCTCGGTTTGTGAACCCGGTACTGCTTCAGTAGCTTCTTGTCCCAGGCGCCGCAGTTCAGAGGGTTTCCAAGACGTAAGAACTCCCTGGAGGGCAAGAAGAGCAGGATGTCAAGAAGAGAAATAAGCCTTCAAAGCAAAGGACATATTAAATAGCAATGATTATTACTGTTCTTCTGATGCTTATTATTGTTGAATTTTGCCTAATTGCCGTACCAGTTTTTACTTGAGCATATTTCACCATACTAAAGTAAAATACCCTCTCAATTTTTTGCCCCCATTTAATTGAGCATAGTGTTAGTTCAGGCAGGACACGATGTCAAGCTCAGCCCACACCCCAGCTACATCAGCTGATCTCAAACAGCCCACTGTTTGATGGATCAGCTGATTGATCACATGATTCCTTTCGATGCAACCAATTGGCACATCTCATTCAGGGCGCCCTATTTAAACTGCTCTGGCCTGCCTACTGTTGTTGCTTCCTCTGCAAGCCACTTTGCAACCCACCTCCACCCCAGCTCCTCCTTTTCATGCTGTGTCTGACTTATCAATGTCATTTCTGTTTGTCATTGATGCTGCTCTGTTCTGTTCCTGGGGGGTCTTTGCTGCTGCTCTCCCTGCCTTAAGCTTTCCATTTAGGCGCATGGAAGGGCAGAGAGGTGTGCTCTCTCTGTCTCAGGCTTTCCTCATATGCGCATGGAAGGGCAGAGAGGCCCCAGAACAGAGCCATACCCCCAATATATAATACTGCAATGGAAATAAAGTTTTCTTTGACTAGAGTGACCCTGACTAAAATATATGAATTCATTGTTGCCATCGTTTGGCAAACTCAGACTCTGCATTTTACCTTCCATCTGTATCATAATCCATTCAGTGACTCTAAAGGGACAGTTCAGAAAGCCTGCATCTATTCATGGCAAAAGTCCGGTGCTCATGACAGCCCAAGATGTAAACATTAATGTCATTCACCTCGGTTAAGCTATAACGTTAGCTAGCTGAGTGATGCTAGGTGAGTTAGCAGTAGATTCATGCTTCCTTCCATGTGGTGGTACAGTTCATGGGTGTAATTTAGTAGAAAGAATAGCGTTACAACATGAAACTGCTACGAAGTAGAGGAGGTAAACTAAGGCTACACTACACAATACATGAGTGACTTCTGCGTCTTTAGATATTAAGGTAAAACAATAAAGTATTTTGTACAGAAATACTGCATTCAGTCAGGCTGTTTCTTCCTTCAGGGCATCGCATCAGTGGAATTCAGTACCACAGACATTTAGAGAGTCTCCATCATGTCACTCATTTATGTTTAATGACAATAAATGGCTTGTTGACACCCAAAGATGTGAACACTGATTCACGTAATATTTAACTGTAACATGTGACAGTGGATTCTGTCTGTAACTGTATTATGTGATGGTTTTTTTGCTATAATGCAATATGTTTTGACCTGTTTATCATCATGTGGTACATTTGTTTTTATGAATTATTTCTAAGGTCTGCAGTGGCTCAGTATGTGGGGGAGCAGGTGGCTCCAACACTGCTGGGTACAGTTGTTGTGTTTCCAGAGGGACAGTCAATCATAAACACGTCCTCTGTGTCCTCATGAATCTGTAAAGCACTCTGGATAAAAGCGTCCGTCTAAATGTATGCAGTATGTAAATTCAGCAGTTACTTAGCAGGTTGACTTGTTCTCCTCAACAGCTGTGGTTAAGAGCATGTTTTAGTCTGTTTAAAAATCAATGATGAGGTTGACTGGCATGTAGGTGCCTCGAACACAAAGAGTCCCGGTGATGGTTTGTGTCAGTCGCCTGAGCGCTGAGTGAGCAACACCACAGACACGGAAAGACTCGGGAGCTTAGCTGAGGCTGACGTTAGCAGAGCGGAGACAAACGAGAAATAACACAGGGGGGAGAATTATGAAGGTAAAGTGACAGAACAAGACTGACAGCACACGAGTGAGGCAGACAGACTAACAGGGAGGAGACAGGAGAGGAGGGTGGGAACAGATTGACAGCTACAGATATGTTTACCTCCAGCACAATGAGGGGAAAGAGAATATCAGCCGGGGGATTTACATATAAAAAGAGTCAACCATGTGCATGTCAAATAACTCTCCCCCGTTCTTCACCCCAACCTCCCACCTCACTTAACTAGTCAGGCGGGAAATGAGAATCGCTTGGGTTAGTCTGCATACATAGCCCTCTTTCACATGCTGAAACCTGTCAGAGCAGATTAAGCTTCCCAAATGGGAAAACTTCACCTCTATGAACAGTCCCACTGACATACTAACAGTAGAATATTAATGGGGCGATAACCAGTTTGAGTCTGGCAGGTCATGTTAAGTTTAGAGATGTAGTAGGTAAAATTTTAGCCAGGTCCAGTACCTTAGTGCCATCGGCTGCAGGGCCTGTGAGGCCAGCCTCTCAAACATCCTCTGCAGCGGAGGGTGCAATGGATGGTCCTCGTCGCCCAGGGCCTGACTGCAGCGCTGCAGCAGCCGCTGGTGGAGGCACGCTTCACACAGCACCTGCTGGTTCCTCTCACTGTTCACCAGGAGCTGGAGGATGTTGGCCACCGCCAGCTGCAGGTCCAGGGCGTGCTGGAGGGAAACAGGAAGAGGCTTTTAGTTCTCACATTATATTTGATTTACAGGATTGTTGTGTCTACAGCTGCAAGGACATGGACAATCTGGGCAATCTGACTGCAATAACTCTGATAAGAGATTCAAATATATCTGTTTACATGGACTCTAAATAGAGGAATCTGATGAGGTGTGCGTTCACATGCACCAAAGCATTTAAGCAGAATAAAAGAGTCTTATCTGCCAGAAATATAACAGAAGAATTGGATTTTTTCCAACTTCATTGCTAAAATTCAATTCATTCAATACATCGAGTATAGTAGGAGAAGAACTGGTTGCACCTTAGAAGTAAATAATGTAAGTGTAGCTCAGGATGCTGCAAATTACAGACACAAAACTGGCTGTCACTACAATTTACCAATGGTTCCTAAACATCTTACATGCGGGCTACTGGGCTGAGTTAAATGGCTGCCAGCAGCATCAGTGAGAAACGCAGTAGAACAAGAATGAAAGCTCAGGGGGCAGAAGTCAGAGAAGGGTGGGTGGATGCGTCCAACAAACACCGATTTTCACCCAGGAGAGCGGAGTTCAGGTCCCGTAAGATTATACAACCAACCATCCACATGATTTGTTGCTTAAATCCAACCACATGTTTTTTTTCTTACGTGTGTTTGTTGTTGAAGGGAAAAAAAAAAAAAAAAAAAAAACGGCAATTTGCGGTGTTGTACCAATGTAGTGCTTTTATTTTGAAAGACACTGTATGTAAACATTAAATTTCCTGTGAAAACAGAAGTGTATTTTGAAAGAAGACAATGCATGTAACAGGCAGAACTTGACACGGCGTCCCAGAACGTCAACGACCAACGCACCCAGGGTATCTTGGAGGTCGTATCTGGACGTGGAAAGTCCAGGACCAAACGTCGATATGTGACGAGGTCGGAGTGAGAATGTGTTGTTAAACTTTAACAGCGACTAGTTGCGTATCATGCCCACATTAAAGAGCAGCTTTTCTGTCAGTGTCTGACGCCGGAAGTCGCAGCCCAAGCGCCTGATTAAAATGAATTAAGAGTGAGACCGGGTTGGCTACTGGTGTGTCAAGCAACTCCACATTGCAACCTGTAACAGCAACATTACATAAGGCTACAGTTTTAAAGTAAAAGAATACATTTATCAATCAGAGCACTCATATAAGAACATAGCACTTAATACTTTTGAATTTATGAACAATTCTCTGTCAAAATCAGCAGAGGGAGACTCATAGAAATAGCTGTTGCGGTATGTAATGTGCAGCACACGCACCAGCTACGTTACCTAATGTTACCCCTCCATGAGGAGCAGAAAGAATGTATTTATTCCAGCCAGACAGATATCAGGTCAGGTTCACGTTTACATGCGTATTAGGCACTAATATTTTCCTACTGAACAGATTATCGAATGGATTATACTTCCCCTTGCAACTGGCTTAAAAATTCCTTTCAATTAGCCCAGTCTCTTCTGATTGAGGTGTTAACATGAGGCATTTTTCAGTACTCTGATTACTAGTGGAATATTAGGGTCCATGTACAACTCATACATTGAAGTTTCATTGGTTTTGCCAGCATTTACTGATTAGCTGTTAACAAATTCTAAATTCAATCTCCACAAAATGTAAAATATAGTGTTTTCTTTTTAAGATACATGCACATTAAACAATTTGGATGCCTGTGACAGGTAAAAAACACTGAGTCAAACTGAAAATAAAAGCTTTTCCCTGGCCCTACGTGTAACCCCTTCACCCACTTCAACAGGAAGTGCGTGTTAGCACATTTCCTCCTTGCGTTTCCTCACCTCTGGCTGACTGTCTGAGCAGACGGAGGGCAGCAGGTCCAGCATGGCCAGGACGGCCCCTGGGTGGATGACCACCATGTCGGACGAAGACGAGGAGGAGGTGGGGTGGGAGGTGTTGGCCAAGTGGAGCTTCAGGTCTGTCAGGGCTTTGACTGGGGCGGGAGGGCCCGACGTTCCGTAGTAGCCTTGTCTGGGAGAGAGAAAGTCATGTGCAGTCAAGCCAAAGTTATTCACACATCTTCGATATATCTGCCACTGAGTGCTTTACAGAACACAACGATCTCAACACAAGTGATGGAGATGGGTCAAACGTAAAAGTCTGGCAAGAAGAAACAACATCACCGTGTTTTGTCCTTGACATTTTGTTTTGCCACAGGGAACCCTGCTGTTTCCTGTTGATATGGTTATGAGAATATGCTGATTAAAACAACATAAAATCATCCTAATTTCAGTTCAGTCCGAGGCAGAATATTAACACTTGCCACTCGTCTGTTTACTGAGACTCAAGCTTTATTTGGAGGCCCTACTTTACTGTAAAATATGTAACTGGCTCACAGAAACACAGAAAGTGGCTGCTAAATATTCAGATATACAGATACAGTGTCCTCCAGATAATCAATGGAAACATTGCTATAAAGAGGACGTAAATAATCATCACTGGATGAATGTAAGCATTGTATTTAACACTTTGACTCCAACTTTCTTCAACATGACTCAGCGCTCCTCACACTTCAGGGATCAAGGTGTCAGTCGAGCCCTCCTCTTGTGCAGAGAGCAGGAGCTCTGCCAGGGCCTGCAGCGGGGCAATTAGACAAATAGGCGTGTTGCCGCGATGCAAATTACAGAGTGGCAAATCCCCCCTCAGGAGAGATGTGGAGCTGGAAAAGGCTGGAGTCAGCAGAAAGTGCTGGAGGGGTTGGATGTGGGGCAGGAAGCTAACTGGGTTGTTCGTATTCCCACTGGCTTGCAGCCTCTTTGATAGTTTTTGAGTAGAAATGGACATGTGAAATTATGTTCTGCTGCATTTAAAGACAGGTATGGACAAAGTTACGACGCACAGACACAGCGGGCTATGTAAGAAGCTCCAGCAGTAATTCAACATGGTGGTCAGAGCTTGCACAAGCAAATGAGGGGGAGACAAGCAGTGGGTCCAAAGTCCATACAACACACTAACTGCATATAGTGTATATGATGCAGTAATGGTGTTAGTGTACTGTTTTCACTGTTAATATGAAAAGTATATTGTTTAGTTCTTGTATACTAACAGGAAATGATACGATACTCGCACCAATGCATGTCAATCAAACTGCGGATTACACTTGACAAGTACACATCCAAAGAATTTAGTAGTTATTTCCTCCTCTCTGAGGTGTTAAACCACTATCCCCAATTTTTTTAATGCACTCACAGGTCATTTTTAATCTGCATCCTGCCTATTTTTAAGATGTTTTTGTCAGATTTAAGGCGTGAACTCACCACATACTGGAGACCTGCTTAGATTTAGGGTTATCTAATGACACACGAAGAATTATTTTCATTATCTACAAAACTGTCCATTATTCTTTATCTAATTTTTTCTCAATAAAATGTCAGAGGGTAGTGTAATTTCCCATAGCCCAAGGTGACGCCTTCAAATGGTGTGTTTTATCGGACCAGCAATCCAAAACTCCAAAGCTATTCAGTTTGCTGTTAAGTCGTCACATTTAAGGGGGATGAAACAAGCGAACATTTGGCTGTTAAATTACTATAACAATTATTCCATCGTCAAAAGAGTTGCCGATTCATTTTCTGTTGCAGTTCTACTTAGATGTAACATGTGACATGAATTTGAGACACAGCTTCAGAGTACGTTGACACTTAGTCGGCCAAATTTCTCCACGTCTTGGCTTTCCTTCAACATTAACCCAGTATGTTACACAGCCAAATGATCTCCAGAGTGGATAATATTGTCTGCTTATTTTAATATAAATGACTAAATCGTAGCGTATTTTGTTGGACAACTAAACAGATATTGAAATATACGTAAAAGTGAAGAGTTAAATCTTGATCTTTGCTGTGTTAACAGTGTATGTAATGCTCAGTATGTAGATAAGCCATGGTGAACAGTTTTGTAGTTTTCCAACAGAGAGAAGGAAGGGTTCGAAGCACAGTCACCGGAAGAAAATGTTGGCATTGTACGTTTCTGCAAACCATTAATAGGCTACATTTCTATGTTTTATACGAATCTTATCAACGTTTCTTAAGTGACGTAATGTATGAGCTGACTTTCCTATTGCAAAGTGGAGGGTATGGTGGACGGGGTGATCCCTTGGCGAGACGCTGCCAAGCTGTGGACCACTGTTTGAAACCAACAACCAACAAAACTGGTTGTTTTTAACGAGTCATCACTTTGTTTCCAGCAGCTTTACGTCCATCAAACATGGCCGTTTTTAAGTGACTCATCACTGGTTTTACACCGGGGATAGTGCAACAAAAAGCGGTTGTATTTTTTACCAAGATGTTGCCGCATTTCCTGTCAAGGTAGTACAACCAAAAGTGGTGGTTTTTACTGAGACATCGCTGCATTTCCTGCTTGGATAGTGCCAAAAAAAGCGATTGTTTTTTTACCAAGACATTGCTGTATTTCCAGTGGGGATTGTGCCACCAAAACCAAGTATTATAAACCAAAACATAATATTTTTGTAAACATAACCAAGTAATTTTTGTGCCGAAACCTGACTACACATTGAACCGAGGCATTGCTGAGGTATCTGCTACACAATAAAGTACAAATGTAACATATCTGTTGTTTGTGGAGACGGTCCATTGCCAACATTTTTTTCTTGCGACTGTATGATTTAGCCATTTCGCTGTTATTCAGATGTTTTCGTGTGGATGAAGATCTTGTCATAAACACCTATTTTCAGATCCAGTCAGTTCAGTGTGGACGTAGTCAGGTGTCAGCAGTGGAAATATCCTGATATGCAACACTGACAGAGGCTGGGTTTAATTTTCGAGACTCTCACAAACGTGATAATCGAAACACTGATTGCTGCAATTTGTTCTTCAAGTCAAAACCCATTGCACAAGATGTTTTGAGCTGCTGAGCATCATTTAGATAGAGATTAAATCATGGGAGATGTTTTCATTTGAATCAAACCAGGCAAACAGTGAGCAATTAGCATCTAGCTTTCCTCACATTTCATGTGTTGTGAGATAATTCTGAGTACAGAAAACTGTTTTACAATCCTCATGAAATCACATTACAATCACAGAACCTTTAAGGTTGTTGAATGATGGCTGTGTGGCAGGAATAGAGTCCACAAAGTGGAGTTTACAGTGAGGTACACAAGCAAGGACGAGGGCCTTATCATCTCTAATTGTCAAATTAGTCCACCTCATGAATATTCAGCCTTGGAGTGGATCCAGACAGGCAGAAGGGGAAGCTACTGAGAGGAGACCCCCAGGTTCACCTTGACTGTTATTAGACCTCACTAAGGCAGAGAACATTTTAACCGTCCCAGCCGTTTTCCCTTTGTTAATGGAATTCAAAGAGCAGCAGAGTCTGGGTTTAGGTGGAGGGGGCAACTTTAGCAGAGAGAGGAGACAAGAAAAGGAGGGGGAGGAGCGGGAGGGTAAGGAGGAGCGGGAGGGTGAGGAGGAATGTGATGAGAGGAAAAATGCCTCTTCAGACTGACAGTAACTTGGCTGATTCTGTGTGTGTTTCCCTGCCTGAGAGGAGCTGTGAGAAGTGTTTTAAATAAAGTGTTAAGACAGAAATGTATCTGTGGTGGTAACAACAGGAGTCATTCATCATTTATCTCTTTTTTTTGTTGGTTTGTCGCACCGTGCTGATTTTTTAATGTTTTTTTTTTTTTTTTTCCACTGCTCCAACTGTTCTGACAGGCTGTCGGCGGCCAGATTCTTCCACAGGAAGAAGTGTAACATGTAGTCATTTTCACCACTCTATCTGAACGCTATGTTTTCATCCCATCTGAGTGTGAATCAAGATGTAAAAGGAGATCAACAGCATCAAGAATATCTTTTACATTTATTATTTGTAGAAGAATTTGCAGTCTATAAAGAGAAAGTTGCCCTGAAATCACACAGCCATTATTATTTATTATTTATACGTACATCGTGTGGAATAATTTTATTTATTTATTTATTTATATTATGTGCAAATAATTTTAACTTAATTTATGTCCACGACATGTTGGCAGTGCTTGTGAGTGCGTATATATACGTGCATATGTGTGCAGTGTGTGTGTGTGTTTAGAGTATGAATTAATTATATTTAATCCTTTAACCTTTATTATTAATTTATTACTTTTAAACGAGTTCTGTTTTATTCTGTGCATTGAATGTCGCTGTATTCATTTACAATGTGGGGAAAACTGCATTCTCTTACTCTGCACCTTGGACATGGAACAATCTTCAAAAAGATCTAAAATTAGAAACCGTTATATCCATCAATGAATTTAAGGGCATCATAAAGAATGTGGTGACAGAGACATGTGCTTGTTTTTCTTGAGAGGCCACTATGTTTGAATAGTTGTTGTTTTATTGTGGATTTTTGTATTATATGTTGTATTTGCTGCATATTTAAATGTGTTTTGATTGGCTGCTACCTCGGCCAGGTCTCTGTTGAAAAAGATTTTCAATCTCAGTGGGACTTCCTGGTTTAATAAAGGTTAAATTAAAAAAAAAAAACAAATGATGAGAATAAAAGGAATTGAATTAAATTTAAAACTAGTGCTGACATGACTGGTTGCTTAACCATTTAGTTGATCAACAGAATATTAATTTATAGAGATTTTGATGACTGATTTATTGTTTAAGTGATTTATCAGCAACAATCATTTGATCACAGCTTCTTTTCGGGAGGGTCGCTGGCTCAAGTCCCCGTCCGGACCAAAATATGGAGCATGGACCGGTAGCTGGAGAGGTGCCAGTTCACTTCCTGGGCACTACCGAGGTGCCCCTGAGCAAGGCACCCAACGTCCAACTGCTCGGGACCCCTGTCCATGGGCAGCCCCCTCACTCTGACATCTCTGCATTGAATGCTTGCATAGGTCCTGTTTGTGCATGCGTGTGTACTTTGGGCCTGTGTGTGTATGTGACAACAGAGTGACGAAATTGAATTTCCCTGTGGGGATTAATAAAGTATATAAAATTAAAATTAAATTAAAAAAAAAAAAAAGAAAAGAAAAGTGAGGGTTTGGTTATTTTTTGTCAATTTTATATGATTTAGATGCTGAAACTAAGAATTTTCAGTATTAATTTATCTGCCAATCATTTTCTAGATTAATTAATAAATTATAAATATAAATTATAAATTTGTCTACAAAATTTAAAATAAAATAAAAAAAAAAAGGTCATTACAATTTCACAACGTAAGACAAGAAGCAAACTCCTTATATTTGAGAAGTTGCAACCATCAAACACTTGGCAATTTGCTTGAAAAAGTCCAGAACAATTAATCAATTATCAAAGCAGGTGCTGATTAATTTTTGCAGATCATCTTATCAATCAATTGACTAATTGTTTTCCCTCTTATTTTACTGTAATTTGAGTCTTTGGCGTTTGGACTGCTGGTCAGACAAAACAATTTGTAGTTGGGCTCCGCAACACAGTGATGGGCTTTTTTCATTATTGTTTGACATTTTAAATATTAAATAATGAATAAATATATTCAAAAATATATTCAATAGATTATTAGATAATGAAAATAATCATGAGTTGTGGACAATAAATGTTGAAGTGTTGTGGAAGTCTAACTCAGCTTATGGTAAGCAACTCTACCTTGGCACATTTTCATGATTCGCTTAAAGATTCACGAGACAGTTAGAAGAGTTGATGAACATTTTGCCACTAGTGGGCGCTCTTAGTGTCGACTGAGGGTGAGGAAAAATGGAGAAGAAAGGATGAGGGTGAAGAAAGTGGCAGAGCGCTGTAGCTACCTCTTCCTGGCGAGTGCTGGCGTGCCCCAAGGCGAGGGCAGCGAGGTCTCATGAGTCAGGCAGGGAGGCACCTGCTCCGCACGACTGCATGGCAGCACGCACACACACACACACACACACACACACACACACACACACACACACCAGGACACATTTGGACGCAAACATGCACGTACACGCCCCAAAATAAGTGCAAATACACACCCACAGGCACAAACACACAAACACACACACAAAAAAAAGCACAGGTATACACACACCCATATGCGCACACACACACCCACACATGCAGCCGCGCAGATGGACCAGGCCGAGGATGAACAGCCAGACAGCACCAGAGGTTAGAGGAAGAAGAAGAGACAGAGAGAAAAGAAAAGAAGGAAAGAAGCTGTTAGTGGAAAGCTGGAAGGAGAAACAGGATCAGAGCTACAGCTGGAGCACATGCACGACGCCAGCTAGAGCTACACATGAGCTGAGCACGTAGTGTTGTCACGATGACCAACCCTTTAACTTTAACACAGCTGGCAGGCATCACAACAAGGAGTTTAATACTTATATCAAATGCAATCAGAAACTGCTCCACTCCACTGCAGGTGGTGTAAACAAGCACAGAGGAAGAGGACTGTCACTGATGATTCTGCAGTCTGTTTATTTACTGCAGTCACAGGCGAAGATATTTGGGGAGGGAAACAGGGAACAATTCCTCCCTCAATATAAAGAATATGTGCATTTGACAAACTGCTAGAAAGTCACTCAAAGATGCAACAATGCCTACAGCAAAGTAGGTGGTGCCGGATGCAACCTCAAATTGCAATCTGGAATTAAATGGAAAAAGATGAAGCAAGCAGTTGAAGCAGGAGGCATCATGACCTTTCCACATGGATGTATAAAGAGAACTAGATACAGGGTTGGAGGCAGGGCCCCATTCATTCCTATGAAAGTCCCTTAGTGGTGCATGAAGCCAAAAAAGCTTGATTTCCAGGGTATGAAATTACCCTTATTTTTTTTCTTGGGCACATAGAGCAAGTGTATCAGAGACTTCGCCGGCCAGACAGCTAACTTCCTGTTTAGCCCTCGAATGGGGATAAAATGATTCAATCGTGTGGCTCTTCTAGATTTTCTAAATGCTATCAGACCGAACGGATCAAATCCTGATGGTGAAACAACTCATTTTGGGGGGTTGTGACACTCAAAGAAATGATCCACTGTCTTTTTCACAGTGAAAGTCTATAGGGAAAAGTAATTTTGGGCCCAATAGCATCACGTGATAAACCAAGAAGTTCCCTAAAATCCCACGATTTGGCTACTATGACAAATTGGGGTTAAAAACCGGCACTGTTCCTGGTGTAAGATAAAATTTATTTCCTGAGGATGTATCTAGCAGATTGTCTTTTTTTGTGTATTTACAAATCTATTTAATATCGCGCACCTTACATGCAGGTAATGAGAGATATGATTAGGTTTGGCGGAGTGGTATATATACAGTACAGGCCAAAAGTTTGGACATATCTTCTCATTCAATGTGTTTTCTTTATTTTCATGACTATTTACATTGTAGATTCTCACTGAAGGCATCAAAACTATGAATGAACACATGTGGAGTTATGTACTTAACAAAAAAAGGTGAAATAACTGAAAACATGTTTTATATTCTAGTTTCTTCAAAATAGCCACCCTTTGCTCTGATTACTGCTTTGCACACTCTTGGCATTCTCTCCATGAGCTTCAAGAGGTAGTCACCTGAAATGGTTTTCCAACAGTCTTGAAGGAGTTCCCAGAGGTGTTTAGCACTTGTTGGCCCCTTTGCCTTCACTCTGCGGTCCAGCTCACTCCAAACCATCTCGATTGGGTTCAGGTCCGGTGACTGTGGAGGCCAGGTCATCTGCCGCAGCACTCCATCACTCTCCTTCTTGGTCAAATAGCCCTTACACAGCCTGGAGGTGTGTTTGGGGTCATTGTCCTGTTGAAAAATAAATGATCGTCCAACTAAACGCAAACCGGATGGGATGGCATGTCGCTGCAGGATGCTGTGGTAGCCATGCTGGTTCAGTGGGCCTTCAATTTTGAATAAATCCCCAACAGTGTCACCAGCAAAACACCCCCACACCATCACACCTCCTCCTCCATGCTTCACAGTGGGAACCAGGCATGTGGAATCCATCCGTTCACCTTTTCTGCGTCTCACAAAGACACGGCGGTTGGAACCAAAGATCTCAAATTTGGACTCATCAGACCAAAGCACAGATTTCCACTGGTCTAATGTCCATTCCTTGTGTTTCTTGGCCCAAACAAATCTCTTCTGCTTGTTGCCTCTCCTTAGCAGTGGTTTCCTAGCAGCTATTTGACCATGAAGGCCTGATTGGCGCAGTCTCCTCTTAACAGTTGTTCTAGAGATGGGTCTGCTGCTAGAACTCTGTGTGGCATTCATCTGGTCTCTGATCTGAGCTGCTGTTAACTTGCCATTTCTGAGGCTGGTGACTCGGATGAACTTATCCTCAGAAGCAGAGGTGACTCTTGGTCTTCCTTTCCTGGGTCGGTCCTCATGTGTGCCAGTTTCGTTGTAGCGCTTGATGGTTTTTGCGACTCCACTTGGGGACACATTTAAAGTTTTTGCAATTTTCCGGACTGACTGACCTTCATTTCTTAAAGTAATGATGGCCACTCGTTTTTCTTTAGTTAGCTGATTGGTTCTTGCCATAATATGAATTTTAACAGTTGTCCAATAGGGCTGTCGGCTGTGTATTAACCTGACTTCTGCACAACACAACTGATGGTCCCAACCCCATTGATAAAGCAAGAAATTCCACTAATTAACCCTGTTAAGGCACACCTGTGAAGTGGAAACCATTTCAGGTGACTACCTCTTGAAGCTCATGGAGAGAATGCCAAGAGTGTGCAAAGCAGTAATCAGAGCAAAGGGTGGCTATTTTGAAGAAACTAGAATATAAAACATGTTTTCAGTTATTTCACCTTTTTTTGTTAAGTACATAACTCCACATGTGTTCATTCATAGTTTTGATGCCTTCAGTGAGAATCTACAATGTAAATAGTCATGAAAATAAAGAAAACGCATTGAATGAGAAGGTGTGTCCAAACTTTTGGCCTGTACTGTATATAAGATGTGAGATGCCACTATTGTTGTCAATGTCCTACGGTCTTTTTTTGACATTAAATTGGATCAAGTTACCCACAGAAGAAGGCAAGGACAGGAGAGGGCAACCTGCCTCACACTGGTGGCAGTGGGTTTGTGGACTGCAAATTTTTGCCGGGGATTAACGAGCCAACTATCTGGACAACACTCCTGCTCCTGCATCAAGCCAACGCCAAGCTAGCGACTGGTCAGTGTGCCGATGGAATCAAACGGACTCTGGTGGACATCCTGCCTCACACTAGTGTCTTACATTTCAAACATAAATTGATGCAGAAAAAGCACAAGCAGTGCATAAAAAAGCATGAGAGTTCAGGACATTTAGTGTTTTACACTCAAAATTTCTTGATTCATGGGGAAGGACCCCCAAGTGTTTAAAAAAAAAACAAAAAAACTACGCCATGACTGCAGTGATCAGTAAGTCTGATCAATCAACTGAAAACAGTCTGAACACATCTTCAACTCAATCCCAGCTTACAGTTAATATCTGTATTTCTATATTGTTGCCAATTTCTTGATGTATTTTTCTTGTTTTCTATGGAGTCACAGTCGTAATTAATTTTTGGATATTTATCACTTGCACTGGTTTCACTCTCATTCTGCCATCGTGACAACACTACCAGGCTGTGCAGCTGAATCACAACCACAGTGAAGCTTCTTTATTAAATGTCTTTTCAGTTTTCAGACGCCTCAGTTCAGTGATGTGTGTCTCAGATGAAGAGTGTGAGCTGTGACTGTGCAATATAACCTGACTGGGATAAACACAGCTGTGGACCTGCTTCAACACTTTCACCTGACTGATCCGAACCTACAGAGTGAACCTGCTCACTGAAATTTATCTTCAGTGGAACTCATGAGTGTCTTTGTTGGCTTTACATGTTTTAGTATTATATTGTAAATACTTCTTAGCATTGATCTTCACTGTACCTGAGAATAAGATGCCAATTAATCTAAAGTAATATTCACACTAATAATTATGATCACCTAGCTACAGAATTGTCACTTAATCAAGTAATACATGCAGATCTTGAAATCATCATAGATTTAAGATATCATCATTCCTCACTTCAATATGTCGGCTTAAGTTAAAACGTTTTTGTAGGTTGATTGAAAACACTTATATTTGTATTTGTACAACAGGGAAATTTTGTCATAATTAGCATAGGGATTCTTGAGTTATGGCTAAAAACATGTTGACCTTGACCTTTGACCACCAAAATCCAATAATTTCATCGTTGAGTCCAAGTTAACATTTGTGCCAAATTTGAAGAAATTCTTTTTTTCAAGAGATATTCCCTTCATGGGAAAAAGAAGCAAGGTCACGGCTATCTTGATCTTTGACCACCAAAATGTAATCAGTTCATTGTTGAGCCTCAGTGAACGTTTGTGCCAAATTTGAAAAAAATCCCTCATAGTGTTCTTGAGATATTGCGTTCACAAGAATGAGACAGACAAGGTCACAGTGACCTTGACCTTTGACTTACAACCAGCAAAATCTATTCAGTTCATCTCTGAGTCCAGGTGGACGTTCGTGCCAAATTTAAAGAAATTTTATTCACAAGAATGGGATGGACAGAAGTTTGACTTAAGCAGTCTTATTATGCTTTTCCTTAATTTCTGCCTTATAATGTCATAATCTTCTTAGTTCATTGTTGAATCCAAGTGAACGTTTGTGCCAAATTTGAAAAAGAAATTCTCAAAGTGTTCTTGACATATCAAGTTCACAAGAATGAGACTGATGAGGTCACAGTGACCTTGACCGCTGACCTACAACCAGCAAAATCTAATCAATTCATCTGAGTCGTGACGTTTGTGCCAAATTTAACGGAACGGACAGAAGTTTGACTTAAGCAGACTTATTATGTTTTTCCTTAATTTCTATCTTATTTAAAATGTCACAACATTGGACTGTCATATTAAAGTTGCCAAAATTCTTAATAATGAGGTAAACCTATGTGACGTTATCCATGCGGGCAAAAACGTCAGGCTTCACACCATTCTGAATACTGTGTTTCCAACCTTTTTTTTTTTAAACTACTTTGGCTACAAGCTAGCGTCAGCTCGTGACACATAATTTTATATAGTCATTCACCCCAAAAGTTACTGTAAGTGTTTACATTACGTAGCCTACAGTACCACATGTAGCATCTTGCTAGGTTGTTAATTTCTCCCCAATTTCTTATCATATTCCTGCTGGAACATGTCCGGTTGAGTTGAGAGGCTTTTATTAGTGATTATTCACGGTAGAAAATGCTGCTATTTTCTGATACAGTCATTCCACCACCTGTAATGACAGAGATGCCGATATGTGGAAGACCCAGAAACGCTGACTAATTGGAGCAGACTGGGCTTTTTCAGAAGGGAGGACTTAAAGAGACCATTTTAGACACAGGATAAATACAGTGTTTTTTGAACAATAAAGCATGTAAACATGTTCCCTTGGAAACCTATGACACAAGTATGAACCTGAAAATGAGCATAGTAGTAGAAGAGGATTGTAGAAAAACATGAGATCTACAGAAATGTTCTTGAGGAACGTGGCTGCAATCTGCTGAACATTAAAAGTCTCCAACACTTTCTTTGACATTGAGAACTCACTGATCCCATTGTTAAATAATAGTTCAGTCAGTAATGATAAACACTCATAGAAGTGTTGACTTATTTAACCACCAACAGTAAATGAACAACTTGTTAACAGCGTGTTGACAACAATCCTTATTTACTGATTAGCTCATGGTTGGACCACAGGCAGAGAGATGCATTTGACCCTTCCGGCCTGATTTATGGCGCAACACATGCATCACTGACAGGCTCTTAACTCACAGAAAACTCAAGTACACAATATCTGCTGGCTGTTGTGTGAACAGAGGGGACTGAACTCCTACTGTAGATGGTTGTATCATGGCATTTGGCTCCGGGATAACACTACAGAACAAACATAGTGTGTTTTATTCTTTGCAGAACCGAATCTCACACTTTGTGCTTCATAAACAAGTGTCACTGCTAAAACCTGGGGTTTGAGTAATCCACTGACCTGTCAAAGGAGTCGGTGGCCATCTTGTACAGGTAGATGAAGAGCTTGCTGCAGTGTTTGAGCGTTGGACACACGCTGTCTCCTGCGCAACCTCCCAGAGCAGCCTCGTCCTCCAGCAGCCTCTGGAAAGGCTGAGCGTTAGAGGGGAAGACGCTTGTGGGACCAAGCTTCTTAGTGTCTGAGAAACAGCCCAGCAGCCTGTTGGAGAGCAGACAGAGGGATACATGAGTGAAGTTTGGTTTTTAAAAGGGGCAATTTCACCATGTAACACTACAGGCAGAAAATGTAGGAAAATACTGCTTAAATTCTGCCTTTGTTTGCTTCCTAATTGGTAGTTTGTCCCACTGCAGGAAAAGTGCAATTATTTGAGACACTTTCTTTGTGCCGTTAATCAAGCCTTTATTTTTCCAGGAGATAGTTCCCAGTGGCAGACAGGATAGCTTAGTGAAAACAAGGCGTACAGGGAACCAGTCTAAACACTGGTGGTGTCATTATTCTATATCAGTTACAGTTAGCAATCAAAAACTCCTCGGGCATCACTAGTCCTGGGAGAGTAGACCTTACCTGACAGCATCTGCCAGCTTCTCATACTGGATCTCTGTGCGGAAGAAGTGCGAGTTGGCCGGCTCGTAGCGCATGGCGGCGGTGAGCGTGCAGAAGACGGTGTGCAGAAGCTCAAAGACCTGGTTCTGGTTGACACGCTCCCAGCCGTGTCGAGGCGGCTGGCACAGCGAGCGCTCCATGGCAACCAGCAGAGAGGTGACATAGACAAAGCCGCCCACCTTGCGGAACACAGTCCGGGTGCGGTGACTCTCACGCAACACCGCCAACAAAGCCTGAAGAGGAAGAAGAGAAACAAATCATAGATTTAGGCAACATTTCTAAAGTTTGAATTCTTTACTTCAAAAAAAAAAAAAAAAAAAAAGTGATTTATAATGACATTAAAAACATTATGTGTTTTTGTTATCACATAATTTATTCTGAAGATGTCACACACACTGTTTTTCACTTTCTCTGCATCATTTTATACAGACTTTACTTGACTTGCTTATTTTAAATTTCGTTACTCAATTATTCTCTCCCGTGTTGAGTTTTCAAGTCATTTGGTTTTTGTCACCTCATTCAGTCTTCCTCTCATTCTTCTTCTGTGGTGAAACATATTCATGAACCCCCCTGGGTTTTCTTCGTCTCACTGCACTGACTGGATTTTTTTCCCCACATTTTCATGGTTCGTATTTGCAAGTACCCTAAACTGAAACATCAAACTGTAACCTAGATACGAGTGTGGGGACCTAAAAACAGCCCGAGAGCACAGAGTGTCTGTGACAGGCAAAGTTTTTAATTAGCAACTGAAAAGTGGGGAAAACGTCTGGGATCGGCTACAGATGACGCTTTTGAGTGACACATGTGAAGTGAAGTGCAGGCACATGTCACGGAGAACGGGGTTCAGAACCACTGGGGGCGTTTTAATTTTTTAACTATTTCAATCCTGTTTCTGAAGGAGTGTGCTTCAAACTTCTGTTGTATGACAAGATGAGTTATAATTTCTGAACATGTATGTGTGCCACATGCTTTTCCAGACAACACAATCAGAGCATTATCAGTCTGTTTCCATGGTGATGCCACTTAGACCGCCTCATTAGTTGGTTACATCCTACATAGGGCTGCCCCCTGATAGTCGACCAAATGTTAGGTGACGAGAAGGGTCATCAGTCGGCAAGATTTTATTGATCGTTTAGTTACAAAAAAAAAAAAGGGTAAAACGAAAAACATGAAACTCTATCAGGAGCTGCACCTTGTCAAACAAATCAAAACCTATATGACTGCACCATGTGTGACTTTATTGTGAAAGGACAGACACAGGAAGTGTCCACGCTCAGCAGTCGGACAGGAGTCAGGTTAATTTCCAGGGCTGGTACCTGCGGTTATTCCACAGGCTAGTTAATAACATGTCGGGCAGGAATTCCAAAGTGTGGGATCATTTTGAGAAGGTGAAGGATGAACCCAAGGTGATATGTAAACTCATCTTCATTGGTCGACTACAAACATGACGTATCATCTGAAACATGGAAGTAGCTACATGCCCATTAGCCCACAGCGTCATTAACAGGCGGCTCGCTCAGTGTGTGACGTGCACTTGTAGATAAAATATAGGCCTATATTAATGAAGGTTCATTAGTACGGTTTTGTATTTCTCTGTAATGTAGCACAGTGTTAACAATGTTACTGATACTATTCTTTCTCACACCTTCAACTCAAACCACCAAAATCATTTGATAATTAGATTAATATCGTAAACATACGAGCGACTAGTCCACTGATGGCCCTAAATGACCACTATTGATCGACTAGGAAAATTCTTAGTCAGTGCAGGCTAAAGCTTAAGTTTACTGTGCCACCCTTTTTACACAGCATACTATAAGCAGCAGCCCCTTGATTCATCTGAGAGAGTAGGAGAGTGAATAAAAGGGAAGTTAAGACAGAGATATGTTGCACAGCTGAGCCAGCTGTTTCCTGCTGCATTTAAATACTGCCCAACTCAGCACAGCGTTCTTTTAAAACCAATCACAGGATGTTGACTACATCTTCTTCCTGCTGGGAAATTACCACCAGGCTCCACTATGTGCTGGTAAAATTTAGGCTCGGGCTGGTAACTTCAGCAGCCATGTGGAGGCCTGGAGGATGCAACATATCAGGATTGCCCTTCTGAGAGATTACAGGGTTAAATGTGAACTTTCACGAAGCTAATCAGCTTAAATATTGAGATCTATTTGTGAGTCTGCAGTGTGTTACTGTCAGCGGTACATAAACCCTGATGACGAGCGAGGAGAAGATGATTTTACTCAAACTGGATTTGATGTAAGTTCTTTGCCGTCTTTAGGTTTTTCTGAGGGTGATAATTAAAATCCCTGATTAGTGACACAGGAGCAAAATGCTGACGGGTTAATCCAGCCGAAGCTTTCTGAAGGCGGGAGAATTACCTCGTCTGAAGAAGTGGAATCTGAAAATGCAATTATGCTCCAGAAAATGAGCCGCCATGGTCTCATCCTGTGTGTGTGTGTGTGTGTGTGTGTGTGTGTGTGTGTGTGTGTATACTTTTATATGCACCTTACACTTAGTGCCCCTGGATTGAAGCAGTAACTGTACACAGGGCTTCAAATGAATATTGATTTTTAGAATTACAGACTTTTCCTTTCCTCTGTGTTCTCACTGAAACTGAAGGGTTTGTTGGTGATGACATCATCTTTCTGAAATCCTTTTTAGCTACACTACAGTAAAAAACTCACCAAATTTGAGTTGACAGATTCTTTAAAATCAAAGCAGCTGTATGTTTCCAGATACAACTTAAAGTAAAATAATACTGTGAGACAAAACCTATGGTAGATATTAAGTGTTAGGTAAATATATACATTTTAAAGTGTGTGAATGATAGAGTGTGTGTGACAGAGACAGTCGTTACCCGCAGTATGTCAGTCTTCAGCTGTAGTTCACTGGACGGTGCAGAGTGCATGAGGCCCAGCAGTGTTCCCATATCGTCATCTCCGCTGGGCGACAGGACGAGCTGCTGGATGATGAGGAGGGCGTGTTCCCGACACTGACGGTACTTCACAATGTTGTGAACGCAACGAGCACCGCCAAACTCCCTGAACAGAGCTGGAAGACATGAAAAAAAGAGCAGAAATTTAGTCTTTGCACATCATAAAGGGATAGTTCGGAGTTTTTTAACTGGGCTTGTATGAGATAGTCAGTGTAGAGTAATGTCACAGAAGCTAAGCAATGCACTGCTGTGGATGAGGGCAGCAGCAAAACTTGTATTAGCTTATTTCAGTTTAAGTATACGCTATATTTAGAGTAATTTCACCACTTCTACCTTGCTGTGAGATAACCCTTTCCAACAGGGAACTGAAGACATTATCTATCCTCTTGTCAAAGCCACCAGACTCCTTAAACGAAAAGTAATTTTACCCTGCAGAACACCAGAGCTGCTGGTCTACTGCTGCCTCCACTGGTTAGTCTGTGTTACCATGTGTTACCAAGTGTTATCAAGCTTGGACCGTTACCCACCAACAGTCCAAAACACAAAGATATTTCATTTCCAGTCATATAAAGCAAATCCTCACATCAGAACCTGCAACCACTGAATGTTTGGTGTTTTAAATCAATTTATATTTCTGTAGAATTTATTTATGAATCTAAGATGCTTAGATCAACATTGGAGACATTTCTTGGGGTGCTTTCACACCGAACCCGTTTGGTGCAGTTAGAATGAACTCAGGTCCGTTTGCAGAGTTAGTACGATTGATTTGGGCTCGTGTGAAAGCTGCCAATTGATCGCTGATGCGGACCAAACAACCGAACTGAAACCGCTCAAAAATATGGGTTTTGGTCCACATTTTTCACTCTGGTGCGACCAAACAAACCACAAGAAACACAAGAAAGACGACAATCAACATGGAAGGAGCTGAGGTGGTTGCCGGGTTTCTGGCATGTCTCTTCGTTTACATGGCGGTGGAAGCTATGAATGAGCTAACCCTCGTCTGCTGAGTTTTAAAAATGCCGGCTGTTTTGTCGCTTTCTGTTGACGTCACATCCCGCCTTGAGTATATCCAGTCAGCACCAAGTAAACCCCAAGCCCCAGCCAGGAGTTTTTAGGGGCCGTTCTGAGTACCTACTCCGAGGCAGGGACTTGTTTAGCCCCTGTAAAAGTTCTGGAACTCTGTCCTTCCGGGTTGGTTCCTGCGGTGGAGACACGCACCAATGGCTGGTTTTTAGGGCCTTTAATGCCATTTTGTAAGGTGAGACAGACTTTAAGGTGAAACTTTCATCCTTGCTGTTCTGTACGCTTGACTGTGTAGTAGGTGGATACTTATTTTAGACCGTCACATGGTTTCTTATTGGAGTTTTTGTGCCATTCAAACTGAAGGTCTGAGCCTCGTCATTGTGTTTCATCATGTGGATGTTGTAAAGGCAATTAACAATGTTAGAGTGATTAAAAATTGGTTGCTCGTGATGTCGGCGATCTTATCTGAGGAAACCAAATTTAAAAATTCAATCTGTATGCTGATGGGCTGATGGCGACTCTGACCATGAGCTGCTGCGCTGAATTTCTTTCTCCTTCTTTGCAGTAATTGCCTCTCGAGATAAGACTGCCAGCTGAGAGCCTCATGCATAGAATGTAATGTAATCAATGTGTCGGAGAGGAGGGCGACAAACATCACACACATTATCCCGATTTACTGACGAAAGCAACCAGTCATGTTCAAGGTCAAAAAAAGATCCGTGCTGTCAGTGTGCAGGCTGTTTTTCTTTGTGACTCATCGCATTTCTACAGCTGACTGAGCCACATATACACACACACACACGTGGAGGGTCAATAAGAGACCGAGCGATGTGGGAGGAGAGGGAGGTTTAAGGAAATGTAATAAGATACTTTATTGATCCCTGGAGGGAAATTGTTCTCCCTCTCCACCTCAACAAAGAGGTCAAAGGTCAAGGCTCAGCAGCCATGGAGATGGTCAAGGACTCTTCACTGAGGTGGATACATGCAGACACAAATGAGCATCTGGACTTTTACTGGCATTCAAGGTTGAATTTGACGCAAATCATTAAAGCCCGAGTTGTACAATTTGTGTGTCATCAGTAATTCTGAGGGCTCCAATAATGTGTGTCTTTCAGCACAACAAAGTTTTCTGCTGCAGCTGCACTGTGGCTTTGTGTTCGGTTTTAACAGCCTGTAATCCAGTGTACTGGAGTTTTCATGTGCCTTTCTCTACTGTGGGAAAATTTTGCATGATCCAACGTTACAGAGACAGAAAGATGAGGAAACACCCTTTAAAGTGACGTCAGTGTCCTTTAAAGAGTAACTCTAATGGGGCCCGAAAATCAGGCCCCGACCCAACATGAGCCCACACAGTTTCTGTCCAAGCTTGACTGAAGCTCAACCCGCATCAGCAGTTTTAGGCCCCAGCCCAATTAAAAACACTCATTTCTGTTGTAAAATACACATATTATCTTTTATAAATGGGGCGGAACCGTGGTGCAGTGGTTAGCATTGTTGCCTCACAGCAAGAGGGTTACTGGCTCGTTATCTCGGGGCAGTTTGCATGTTCTCCCTGTGTCAGCGTGGGTTTCCTCCTAGTGCTCCAGCTTCCTCCCACAGTCCAAAGACAGGCAGGTTAACTGGTGACTCTAAATTGTCCGTAGGTGTGAATGTGAGTGTGAATGGTTGTCTGTCTCTATGTGTCAGCCCTGTGATAGTCTGGTGACCTGTCCAGGGTGAACCCTGCCTCTCACCCAGTGTCAGCTGGGATAGGCTCCAGTGTCCACCACGACCTCTCACAGGATAAGCAGTTAAAATGAATGAAAGAATTGTATATATCATAACATACTTTTTTAAGATTAATACATTTATTACAAGCTGGAGAGGCAAAAGCAAACACTGCCAACCAAGTCACCTTGCAGCCCCCCATCTTTCTCTTTCTCTCGTTATTTTGTCCCTCTCTAGCATGTACTTTCTTTCTCTCCCTTCTCCACTAGATTGCTCCATCAGTTTCCCTCACTTAGTCACAGTCCTCCCTTCTTTCTCTCTTGATTCAGTCCATTAAAACTCCTTATATTTATGCAGGAGAACTGCCAGTTTCATTTAAAAAAACACACACAGGTAAATTGTTGAAAATCCGACCTTGTCCAAGCCTGGGGGAATAATGAGAAATTACAGCCTGGCTCGACCTGAACCCAGTGGATGGATCAGGTCGGGCCCGGTCAGAAGTGCCGGCCCATGAAATAGGCGGTATAGACAAACGCTAAGGGTGTTGTCATCCAAAGTAAATTATAACATTCTTGACAGGTGCCATGGGCCTCACCCAGGGTTCCAAATGTGGTAGGGCTGCCACCATCAGTGAGGTTTAGGCAGAGAATCAGAACTGTACTTTAAAGCTCGTTTGTTGTTGTCCTTATTAATTGGAGTAAAACTTTAACAAAGGTCTGACATTATAATTGAAAAGGGCACCTGAAAGTTAATTATTCAGCAGCATAAAGTCCTGCTGTGTCTCCTTATTTGTATTAATCTATAAGAAAGATCATTACTGTCGTCACTTAATTACAAAATAGCCTGTGTCTGGATTTATTACAAAATTTACGAGTTTTTGACACCATCAATCATCCTGTATATGGCATAATGTGCACGTGCCTGAAAGTGTGTGTATGTGTGTGTTTACCTGCATTAGTGTTGGTGGTGTTGGAGCCCTGCAAGAGCACAGTCAGTGTCTCCATCACCAGCCAGGCCAACTGCTTCTGCTCCTCTGCTACAGTGTTGTTTTTACAGTCAGCTGAGGATAGAGAGAAAAGGGAGGTCAGCATTCGACGTCATCATGAAAGCATTAAATACAAACACTGAGCAGATAACACTAATGATATAATGAAGGGCATCTGCTTTAACACACAGCATTAACACAACAAGAAAACAGGATTTCATTTTCTGACAAGTGTATTTTCAAAAATGTACATTTTTGTCTTTAATGGGTCTATAATCGGTTTTTGATTCAGCTCAGTGCCCCTAAGGTAACGACCTGTAGTTGTGATTTTTATTTAGTCCTGGATTTTACACTGTATGGTGCCAGTTTTTGGAATATCCCAAAATATATACCACATTTTCACTGCCTGAATCAACGTAATTCAAATTTTGAAAGTTGAAATAAATTGCCACCTTTATTGTGGTAGTCTGTAAATAATGTGATGTCATGTCTGTTTCAAGAAAGGCAAAGCTGGCAGACAGCTTGAGAACATGGACCTTTTTGTTGCTCGAATAGCAACCCAAATTTAGCCGGCCAAGCGTAAAATCAGGCCAAAACAGCAAACTTTCTGTTGCTGCCTTAACACAGACCAGACCCAGCCCCCTGTGAACCACTGGCTGAATTCTAGTTGCGACAGCCACTACTGAAGCTCAGTGTCCAGAGCTCCTGCCTGTTCTCCTGCTGGTAAATAGTCTCCTAGCAGCGTAGGGCGAGTTGGAGATACAGCAGCGTGCATGAGCTAGCTAATTCTTGTCTCATGTGTAGTCTGATAAACAAAGACAGACAGAGTGGGACGAGGGGCTGAGCTCAGTGTGCTGTGCACACCTCTATAATGGAATACAATTTTACCCTTTTCAAATACTAACAAGAAAAAGAAAAGAAAAGAAAAACAATAAATAAACTTTAGGGTCAACACCAGTCAGAGTGTTGATGTAAACAGCCATGTTTTTTGAATAAAGGCTTTTTAACTTTATTCAACTGCATTCATTCCTGCTCCTCACATGACTGCCCGAAGTTCATTTTTACTTCCCAATAAATACTGATATTGTGGCAGACTCCACAAATAAATCACTGAATGGGAAACACTGCAGAGAGAGCTGAATGTAGCACTTCAAGTCTAATTTAAAAACTAACAAATATAATACCTTTTATAGTGCAAGGTCAAAAATTGCTCTACAGGAATAAAGCTGTAAAACAGTTGTAAAAACAGTTACTAGTTCATTTACCACTTTTGTTCGCAGTATGTGATGCTAAAATAAAAGTCAGAGAGTGGGTCTGCTCCATTTAAGTGCACCAGTACACCGCTGAACACTTAACAGCAATAATAAACTAATAAACGATACAATACGATCTTGTCTCAGCTCTATGAACTTGAGTTTTGTGAGGTTTTACAGCTTTACATTACATTTAATCTTTGGTCAATGATCAGCACTTTCAGTTTGGATCAATAAAATTTTCTTTGGGCTACTACTGCTGTGGCAAGTGACTCAAGTTCCTGTCCTGTCTGTAGGCGTCTTGAAGAGAAGTTCTTACAAATAAAAATCAAGGAGGCATCATTAATGCTGCAGCTATCTTCAGTACTCAAAACAGCAGGATAGACCATCAAAGAAGCGCCTCACCTTGGTCATTATTGTGTGGTTGCTGCTGCGTAGCCGGGTCTTTGAGCAAAGCAGCTTACTTGTGCAGCAGGTTGACCAGCACCTCCAGCAGGCCGACCTCCCGCAGCACGTCGCTGAACACCGGATCGTGCCTGGCGAGCTTCAGCAGCGTCCGGACGGCCGTGATGCTGCAGGCGTGCGATGTGCTGGACTTGAGCAGCACGCTGACACTGAACAGCTCTTTACACGGCACGTAGTTGAGGCTGAAGACGACAAACTCCAGCAGCTCAAAGTACTTGGCCTGAGACTCGGGGAGCTTGGCCACACGCTCTGCAAACTGTGACAGGGTGTGCTGCGACTCCAGGATGAAATAGTTGGCCGGCTCAGCCGAGTAGATGTTTCCGATGGCGTCCAGGAGCATTGAGGCCAGACGGCTTGTTTTAGCCCTCAGGAAGGCGTTCTGAAGCACCGAAAAGGCCTGGATGTTACGCACTGTGTGGCCTGGAAGACAAGAGATGACAAATAAAGAAGGAGGTAAGTGTTTGTGACAAAACCAATATGAATGACTGATCCAAAAATTAAATGAAATTCATTTGTAATGATCCTACTTGAGGCTCTAAATGTAGCAGCAAATAATAACTAACATTTACAGAGCGGGCAGATGGAGGCCGATGACGTTTACATTTCTCAGACCTACATATGACTCTGCTGGCCTTAATCCAGCAGCACAGAATATGCTTTCTTGGCCTTGAAACCTTCCTGAACTGAGAGCAGATATCTGAGACCACTCCTGATGTGACATAAGATGACACCAAAATGCCTCCAAGGTGTATGACAGAGACGTAACTGCAGGAGGAGTGACACTGAGAACAATGATGTTGTGCAAAAGTGCACTGCTGACATGGAGAGGAGTTATGTATCTTTTCATGGCTTTTCACAATATTTGGTGCAGTATTTATTGTGAGGAAACCCAAAACCCTGTTACAGGCTTTAACCTGCAAGGCAAACAAAAAGTTGCTCTCATTTTCTTTAACAGGACAGCATTAGTGAGCCAGGAGGAAGTGCAGCACAGTGGTTGAACCATATGGCGTTTCAGGATAAATTATTTTATTTTAAAGCAATCATTTTTAACTTTTGTGGCAAATTTGGAAGCTGAAAAATTGTAATGAAACATGCTATACCCCCATACTTATGTCATACAAGTTAATGTCTAATGTTGGCATTTCTCTCTTTTTTAATTCATTTTTTAATATATTTATTTTTAAATATATCGGCTGATCTGAAATGTTAGCTAGCTCAGTGGTGCTAGGTGAGCTAGCCACTTGGCAACTCACGCCATAACAATCTAAACTAATAACTAGCACCACAGGTGAGAGGAAAAATATGTATTTTTGAATTTGAAGTGAACTGTCCCTTAAAGTCTCACGTGTTAATAAAAAAACTATGGTTGCATGATCTTAACTGAGGATGGAAAGATGGAGAAAGGATGAAATATGAGAGCGTGAAGAAGGTTATCCATGAACTCCACCACGCACATAATCTGACCTCCATTTTGGGGTTGAGTATATAACATAAAACCACTGGCTGTGACTCACACACGCAGGAACACATACATGAAAAGTGACACTGACATGTGTCACCACACACACCAAAACACACAGCCGTTAAGTGAATGTGGCGGGCTAATTAGGCGTGTAAGCGGACCCTCACACCATGATGGCTTCTGGTAATGACTCTGCACACAGCTGGAGCTGTCATTAGGTGGGTAAACACCAGTGTGTGTTTGTGTCTGTGTGTCTGTGCGTTGATGTGTGTGTGAGTAGCAAAATAGGCAGCAGAGCCCGGTGGTGTTGGTGCCGGGGTGCACGAGGTTAGAGAGCTGACAGTTTGTGTGTTTGAGCCTGTGTGTGTGTTTTGAGCAGGGAGCTGGCAACAGTGTTTTACCATGGGGCAGAGGTGACAGGCCAAGTTATAACACCGTACGGCTCCTGGAAGTGTTAAAATCTTTCACATGGAAACATTTCATCATGTGTGATTTCAACACAAGCAAAGCCAGAATGAAAAATAACCTGGACGAGGAAAAATTAACAGAGAAAAATGTCATATTTGTGATTTATAATGGCGTAAAACAAATGATGAGTAAGGCAGAATTTATACTTCTGCCTCAAACTGACGCTGTAATTTTTAATTCTTTTTAAAAATACATTAAAGTGCTGTATATTTGTTGTGGTCTTTTTTCAGCCACTGATTTGTGGGCAGATGAGGACCAAACCAGGGATGTTGTACGGTAATAAAACCGTTAAAATACTGTGTCACTTGCCCTTATGTCAACAATATCGCAGGCACTTCCTTTTGTTATTTATTGTTTGATTTCATGCAGTTATAAGGAGCATGAGGGCATTGTAATTCTCTTAGATGTGAGGTAGATCTGCCTGCCTGTTTCTTCGATGACAAACTGTAAAATGAAGACAGAAGGTCAGGCTGCAGAAGAAGTGTGGCTCGAGACAATCCTCTAACCCACTAAAGCATCTCTGGACTCCAGAGAGCTCATTTGTATGCAGCAGGCTTCAGGCATTCATCTCCAGCAGTGTGACAGGCGGCGGAGTTGCCATGGTGTCTGTCAACAGGTTAAGCTTACTGGAATCAGCCAAGCATCAAAGTCATTTCAGGGATTAAGATCTGAGGGAGAGATACGGCGGCCGGGGTATACATGAAAACTTTTCCACAAGTAATTCCTCTCTTGTTTCAGGGCTTCGGGCAAACCGAGTTGATGGGATTGTGCAGATTTAAGAAGTGAGCCTGTGATCAGAAAATCACTGGGCTGTGTCCTGGAGTCGGGGGGGGGGGGGGGGGGCGTCTTTTCTCCTTTAACTTAAACTGTAAAAATGTCCATGAGTCCTTCTTTGGACGACAATGGATGATACTTTTAGTAAAGCGAGGCGCTTTACCTTAATTGCCTATTGTCTTTACACAGAATGTAAATTAGAAATTAAAAGAAAGTGTCTGCAACAGACAGAGATGACGCAATGTTTGGTTTCATTATGTCTGGGACAAAATGATTTCGGCTAAATAGAAGACACTGATCAAGGTCAGATACCTTTCAATCATCATGTCATTGAACGTTTCTCTGTGTTACCAGGTAATCAATTCTGTGACCGACCATCACATGTCAAGTCTGCCCCAGTATCGAAGGACATAATCAGTGCATCAATGTGTTTTTAACTATAGACTCTAGCTGCTGCCATTAACTCACCTTTCCCAGAAGACTGGGGGAGAACAAAGCCAGGCAGCAGGAAGGGGGCTCCGGTGGTCAGGCCGGCAGGTTTCAGCTCCGTCACCCCGTATGTGGTCAGACAGGTGACCAAGTTTACCAGGTCCTTCAGTGCGTCTTTCGATTCATCCTCCTTGGCCTGTTCCAGTCTGGACACAAACAGAGAAGTGTGTATAAATGATCACACAACGCACTCAAGGATCACAGCTGTGAGCTGTAGGAGTGAAGCTGTACCTGAGCATGAGGTCGCAGAGGAAGGCGTAACCCTGGCACATTCGGAAATCGTCCAGCAGAGTCTGTGACACGTCGCTGGAGTCTTTAAGGAAGCAGGAGAGGCCGGCGAACATCTCGACAATCTCCAGCGGTGACAGATCGTCCGACTGCTGCATGTTCTGAACACACGTGGCCAGGCATTCCTTCTCTGTGAAGACAGAGAGGAGCACAGGGTGAGCTGATGCAATGAGTTTGGAGGAACTTCCTGTTGGCTGTGTTCTCTTTTATTCTTTATATTGAAGGAAATATTTTAAAACTGCATGATGACATTTGGCAAACACAAAGTGTTGTGTGATCATCTGAAAAGTAGACCAGCTTTAATTATTAAGCATATTTGCTCGAGGCTCACTTTGATCATGGGTGTACAAAAATAAAAAGCACAGGTGGAAATATTACATAGCTCTGACACATGCAGGAGAACATCATTCTCTGTGTGCACGTCCAGTAGTTCAATGCTGTTTAGCTGAACACCAAATTCATTCAGTCAACTTCAATAAGATGAAACTTTGGTTAAATGATTCTGGATCCAACGAACAATGCTGCAAAAACATTTTTACAACTTCGGAGTTTTGGTAAAAATTAGTTGTCTTATGAACTCCTGAGTAATGGATGGCTCTACGGTCAAGGTTTCTTTTTTCCAGTTAACTCAAACAAACAGACTAATGTGTATATTTTTACAAGGCATAACACATTTTGCCTCGACACTTGAAATGAATTTGTTGTGCAAAAACAAATTATGCAACCCTCTAGAGGTCCACAAAGTTTCATTTGCCAACATGACAAACTGTAAACTCTCCTGATTAATTTGAGCTTTAGAAATGTCAGTAAACAAACTCTTTTATTTGCTTTGCCAGTTTTCTCACTGTGTGTTGCTAAGTTTCATGCCTTACATGCGCTTCCTTGTTGGATCTGCAGATTCAAGTTTAAAGCTCCTCATTGTGGATAAAACTGCATTTTCTGATTTTTCTTGTGACTGAATGCGTGTCAGATAAACTGCAGATGTGGTTTCCATAACTGGATCTTTATCTTGGGCGGGGTTGTAACTACAGATACTTAATTTGTTCAACGACAATTAAAGCATCCGGGATGCATGTTGATAGTGTGTGTGAGTGACTAATAAACTCCAACTTGTACACAGATGCCTGACACATAATGAACATGTGTATATACCATGTATGTATTTGACCACGTTGACGCTGAGGCCGTGTCGGGAGATGGTGGTGAGCACCTCCCCAGCGCTCCTCCTCCAGGGCAGGTTGTGGGGGGGGCACCAGGAGGTGATGGCACTGAACAGCAGCTGGAGGTCGTCCTTTTGGGCCAGCTCCTCCGCCGGAGACACAAAGGTGCACAGCTTCACCAGGATCTGCAAGGAGACAAAAGCAGGGATGTGGTGCTATTTGTTTGAGTACTGTAGCACACCTGCAACACATGTGGACAGTTAAGTTGTGGTCCGTTTCCGTGACCACTGTTCCTAGTGAGTATTCATTTTTGTTATGCTAGGCCTGACAATAGACAGCAGGTTGTCAAACTGCCCCCGAGTCATCCTAAAATATGCCTGGAAACAGCCATCATGGTGGAGAAGCTCCTGGACCAACTGGTGGTA